TAATTTATCAGTGTTGGTTTGGCAAGGAAAGAAAAGTGTTCTTGATATTGGTAGTTATAACCCAGAATACTTGTTGGGTTTGTTTCTTGAGTGTGCTTACTTTGATAATGTATGCCAGATCCTAATTTGGGTTCATTTACAGCTAAAGAGGTCTGCTATCCCAAGAAGAGGAAGGGAGGGTACAATCTATTAATCTTTCAATAGCATTAGAAGGTCAGTAAGGCTGGAGTGAGGCATGGGTTACAACAAAGCAAAGATTAATGTCACCAGGCCACTCCCTGCCATTCTTCTTGTCTAGGAGAAAGAGATGCATTACTTTTTTTTTTTTTTTTTTAAATAAGCAGGCTAGCCCTATCCTCTAGATCCTACAAGAATAAATGCTTCACGAATGCAGAAACTATACATCTGCATCTAGCACAGGGCCCAGCACACAGTAGGTGCTGAATCAATATTTTTTGATAGAATGATATTATTTTTGACAGAATGAAATTTTTGTTATCATGTCTGTCATACAGCAGGCCAACTGAAATGACATCTCCAGGGATAACCATGGACACGGTGACCTACTTGACTTGGGAGACCTTTTGTCCAGAGCAATTCAAAAGTTTTGTAGCAAGCTATGCAGTTATGTTAAAAAGTCTCAGATCAGGCAGAGAATCACTGTGACCAAGAATACTCGTCAGCCAAAGACAGCCCCCGGAGAGCAGTCTGAGGGCCCGTGGAAGTGATATAAGGGAGCATGTGGCGTGGTACAGAGTGAACCTGTGGATTGTCATTGAACTTGCACGTCCCCAAACAACAGTGTCCGCAGTTGAGTGTTTACAGTCCTCTTTAATTAAAGGTTATTTGACAACTTGAGAAGGAAAACGAAAAGATATTGCTAGAGTGTATTTTTAGGTCCCTCAGGAGTGCTAAAGTAAAAAAACATTAAAAAAATGTGATAACCCAGAAGAAAACTGGGTCCATTTTACAACTGCCCTCGACACAAGGGTCAAACTAGTAAAATTCACCCTGGAGACCTAATGGAGATAAGTGCTTTATTCATCCATCTCATTTATTACACCAGTGAAGTACCCTGCAGCCTAAGAGAAGGACTGCTTCTGACCTCCATAGGCCTGAGGGATACAGGTTGATACCTACTCCTTGTCTTCTTCTTAATCCTAAGCATAT